TTAGACAAAAGCCAAATTTTTTGACTTAAAAATTTTAATTGTGCATATAAAAATGCAAGGTAACTAAAATACTTTTAAATACAATTTTTGTCAATCTCCCAAGCAGCCTATTAGAAGTCAATACATTTTTATATTTTAGCTTCCATTTTGGCTAAAACTTGGGAAGGACAGCCATGTCCAAAATTCAGGATTACCAATTAATCTGTCTATAGAGTATATAATAAATATTTTTCTTATAGTTAAGTTTGTAAAGAATCATTAAATTAATTCTTAAAAGTTTAAAATCTGAAGTCAAGGGGTTGCCAAAAAATTTTCCTTACTTATGGAGGCATTGTTTTAAAAGCCCCTTATTATTAGGGGGAAACCAACGTTTAATGTATTCCTCTAGACACAATGGTCAAAGGCATCACACATTTTGACACATGCAGATATCACTGATTTCATAGAAATAACTTCTATAAAATTCTTGCAGAGCAAGGGAAGTAACCCAACAAGCCCTTGAAAGTCTCCGTGCCAGACAGCCATCTCCTTAAACAGAGTTTTTAGTTAGAGGCCGTTCCAGCTTCATCTTAAGCTATACTAGGAGAAAGTGATCTGAAAAGGGGTGGTTCTCTAGAGAAAGCTGCCTCTCTTTAAGGCTAAGGACTGATGTGAACTATTAGATAAACGTCTAAGCTTCGTTGGTTTCCATATTTGATTTCATATCCTAGCAAAAGACACCTCCCTAACATGGTTTAAAGCCTAACAGGACCAGAAAGGGAAAGGTGGAGAATTAAAGCTTCGTGTTTTTTTTTAAAAGATGGTTATCTTGAACCGTTTAATACTGACTACTATGATATGCTGTTTTCTGTTTATCCAACTTTAATGTTGGATAACTTTTTTTTTTAATTCCCTTTTCACTAGACTGCACAAGAAGCAGGATATCACGTACCTTCCATGTCTTCAATCCAGGGTACCGACACAAATGGATCGAGTCAGCCTTAATTGATGGAAAAGTGAGGGGAGTAGGGAACTTAGTTCTATATTACCTGCCTTGTTTGATATAACCCTAATCAAAGGGGAAACAGCTAAATCTGGTGAGAAATCAAACCAGAGGGGATGTAGTAATTTAGAAGGGGGACAAAGTTCCAACTAAGAAAGACAAGGAGGAGCTCTGGGGTTGTTTGTTTGTTTGTTTGACAAAAGGCAAGGTTGGAACAAAAAGCAGAGCCCCATCCCCTCCCCCCCCAGGGGGCCAGGACCAGAAACCTTCCCATCCCATCCCCCTCCCCAGCCACAAAGACCCTGGAACAAGTGACATCATTGCTATTTACATAATCACACAGTAGCCAGCACACTACCCACCCCCCCAGATTCCAGCTGCTCCAGCCACCTTGTTCAACTGGGAGCCTCTCAAAGGTGCCAAGACTTTAATATTCATCCTAGTCCCTCTCTACCCCCCTGAAGGGAAAGAAAAGGGGTGGGGGTGGCACTACCATTGGTTCCACCAGCCCTGTTCCCATTAGCAAAGAGACAAAGTCACGTCCACACTAATCCCTCTAGGGGGTGGGGGAAGTGGGGCCCCATCAAGAAGCCTGTTAAGATGGCCAATTCCGTCTTCTCTGAGCTAGGACAGGAGGGCGTCTAAAACCCTACAAGGCCTTGCTACCATCTTCCCCAAGTTCACAGGAGGCTCAAGGCAGACGTGCCACGTTGCCTTGGAGACTGCAGCAGTCTTCAGAACCCACAGCGGCTGGGGCCACCTACTAGGGCTTAGAGCTCTCCTCCCTGTATCCCTCCAACCCGCCTGCGGCAGAGCAACTCTCAGGGGAAAACACAACTGACCGTATCTAGCTGCTGCTTCCACCCAATCACCTCTCGGGCCGAGCTCCCCAGCTTTGGCTTTGATAAGCAGTTTGGGCGGCCCTCTTCCCAACCTGCCTTCCCCTGTAGGTCTAAAGGTCATTTCTGCAAAGGTGGGTTCCCTTTACGGGAAGCCCACGTATCCGCAGTCCCCTCCCAGTTACGGCTGGAAGCTATTGAATCTCACTGTTAATGACAAATCTTAGCGCCCTCTGCAGGGGTTGGCCTTCTGGACCCAAACCCTAACTGCCACCCCTTCTCTTGACCTTCCTCCCTAGGACGTGTTGCGGGTACAGATTACCCATTCGGCGGCATTCTCGCCTTTCTCCTCCCCCCCAGCTCTGGTGGCCCTGGGAGCAGAGCGGTGGAACCGTTTGGGATCAATACAAACTGCCTGCCTGTGGGGTGGGTTCGTGCAAAAAATGCCTTCTTCCGAACGTGGCCAGAGAACACTAGACTGCCGCAGTGGGCGGGCGGGGTGGGGTGGGGGGGAGACTGGGGTAGGCAGCGCCTTCATTGCCTCTCCCTTTTCCACCATTTCCCACCCCCAGTCAAGGCCGGAGCGGCTGGACTTGGGGAGGGGGGGCGGGGAGGACAGAACAGAAAGAGACTTGATGGCTTGAGAAACCTGAATTAAGATGCCGAGGATCAGGAACTACTCCAGGAAAGGGGAGCGGCGCTAAAGCCTCCGGTCCAAGGGGGCAGGAATCTCTAACTAATATTCCTGTAGCTCAAAGCGCTTTACAAATTTGATCTCGTACGGTCCACACTACGTATGGAGTCGGGGGTGGGGGCAAATCGGGCTTGTCCAATTCCCAGGATGGTCCTGGCTAAGCTTTCTAAAAGCATAATTTGAATTGCCCTGTGAGAGGGGTTTGGAGGTTACTAAAAAAAACTATTCCCCCAATTCTGGCCTTGAATGTGTATGTAAAACACATTCTTCTTGAATGAAAGGGAGCTGAGAAAAATATTAGGTCTTACCTTATATATGGGCTAAAAAAAAGCCCCCACTAATTTGGAAAGTACAGAACTGTGAAGTGTCTTACCATATTTGCAGTTTTAGCTAAAGGAATCTCCATTGCGCTGGAGAGTTTGAATCAGGGTGTGGGTAGGAGAGTCTGAATTGGTCCCAAGACATTTTCAAGTGGACCAAAAAATTAAAGTACAAAAGTGTGGGGATGGCGATGTCAATTCTAATCTTGGCCAGCCGTCAGAGTTGTTATACTTACGGGGTGTTACTTTGGTAACCCTACTTCGAAGGGGGACACTAGCACTGCTGTCTACAAATTACCTATAATATTTCATACTCCAGAGTTCACCAGGACCTACCCCACTTTGTCTGGAGTACCTACCCACTCTTCTTTACAATGCCCTTCAGGACTTTTCTTCTTTCCTTGAATGGGGAAAAAAAACTTAAAAAAACATTCTTTTTCACCATTTTATATCACAAAAAGTTCCCTGCTCAAAGAAAATAATGAGTCCTGGATCCCAGAATTAATATCTCTGGGATCCGCAGAGACTAGACTGCCCAGGACGACCAGGTTCTTTGTGTGTTTCAAGTTGGAAGCTTAGCGTAGAAAGGGAACAGTTTACCATATCACATACCACTAGGCAAGTATTTTATATATCACCAGAGCAAAGGTCTTTTCACCTCTGCTATATTCCTAAATGGGCATTTAGGTTTTCCGTGTAATTTTTCCCCCCTCCCCAGAACAGGAACATGAAAGGGAAAAATACCGACATTTGAAACAGACCAGCCAAGGTGCGAAATACAGAGAACCCAAGCTTTGGGCACACTGGCAAATGGAGGGAAAAAGCACACTTTGGGAAACCTTTTTTTTTCTTTAACATCAGTCGGCATGGGGCTGTTAGCTACCTAGAAACCCCAAAGAATGTTTTTTCCTTAGGTCAACAGGGGCAGCACGATAGCTTCCAATTGTATCTCTCCCCGACTTATTGCCCTGGTCCCCCCAGACCAGCCTGAAGCTAGTCTTTCCTTCCCCACCTTCCCTCCCACCATCTAAAAAGGCAACTGTGGTTTTCAAGTTAAACCACGGCGATTTACCTTCTGGTCCTGAATTCAGGGCATTCCCTGAAGAGCCCACCACCCCACCTCTCCTTTTTTAAGCCCAAGAGGTGCAGGACGGCTAAAGGGCCACAGGGAGGAGGCAGAACGCCTTTGGAGCGAGAGCTTCGCAGCCTTGTAGCTGCGCCGCCGCTGCCGCCGCCAGGGCAGCCGTCATAAGCCTAGGGAGATTTCTCCATAGGCTTTTTTTTTTTTTTGGTTAAGTGACAGCTTGCGCTAGTGCTGCCTGCGCCGTCGGGCGGACCTGCGCATCCTCTAGACTGGCTGCAGGAGCGCCCGCCCTACCCGTTTCCTGCCCCCTCCTTGCTAAGTCTCTGCTCATATCTGGGGCTCGAAAGACCTGGGGTGTGGGGAGAAGTCTACGTGGAAAAAAGACCTCTGCGGGTTTTATTATTATTATTATTATTGTTGCGGGGGGGGGGTTCAGAATGATGGCTACTCACATTTGCAGCTCTGCCGACGGCGGGCGGCGGCTGGGGGCTCCGAATCCCAGGCTTTCAGAGACCCTTCCCCATTTTCACAGGGAGGGGCTATCAAAAATGTACTTACGGTTGTCTCCTTCTTCTACCCCACTGTGATGCCGCCGCCGACGAGCCGCTCACTCCCTCATTTGGCAAATAACGCAAATCAGCCCATCTCATTTCCTGCTAATGCCCCCCTCTCACCTCCCAAAATTTTAATTTCTCAGCTCTCCCTCTCTCCTTGTCAGTGTCTTACCCCGGGCTGTCCCGTCTGTTCACTTCCCAGGTTCCGAGGTTCGCCCAGCCCAAAGAGAACCTGCTTCCCCCCCTCCCCTCGCCACCACCCTCAACCCAAAAGTCTGGCCCGAAGACTCGGTTTAGTGGGGATGGGATTAGGGTGGGGGGAGGGCGTCTGGAGGGGTCTCAAGGGCTGAAGAAATCCTTCGGACCATAGGCAAAGGCCACCAAGCGCCGTCGTGGCAACCCGTTTTCGTGGTGCAGAGAGGCAGCTTTCAGCGCCCCCTCCCCTTCCTGCAGTGGTTTGGACGGGGAAGGGGGGGGAGAAGAGAGGAGGAAAGAGAAGGGGGAGGAGGGAAGGGAAAGACAATTACCTCTGCCTCTTCGGGACCGAGTGCTCCACCTCGATGAGCTTTCCGTGTACCTCCACTTTACCTGCAAACAGACAAGAGCAAAAGGGGGCTTGAGGCTGCCGCCCCCCTAGGGCCAGGGCCGCTGCCGCAGTTCCACGTCGTCTGTCTGCAGCACCCCCCCCACCTTCCTTCCCTTCCCCATCGGGCTAAAGCTGCACCCAAGTAACCGCAGGGAAAAACTGGTAGTTGGCAAGCAACTAAGGGGGGCCACTTGGAAGCCTCCCAAGTGTGTGTGGGGGCGCCTGCACCCCAATCTCAAACCTAATCTCTCACTTCTCTGGCACAGGGCGGGGGGCGAGGGGAGGAGGGAGGAGAGTACCCAGAAAGAACAGCCTCCGCGGCTAAAATACTGGGCATGTTTCCCACTCTCCGGTCCCCCCCCACCTCACCCCCTTCGCCCAGGGACCCAAACCCGGGGGCTAAAGACGCCCCCACTTCGCTTGGCAATAAAAGCTACCTCAGATAGTTCCCAGAGGCCACAGACATCATTAAAAGGTGGGGTCACGGGGAGCAAGAGGAACCCGAAAAACCCCAAGTTACGTTTTTCCAAAAGGATAGACTCCCCCAAATAGGGCAACAGGGCGCAAAGTCCCTGAGGAACCCCAAATCCACAATTCTCTAGAAATCTAGCTGTATGACGCCCTAACTAGTCGGACCCTCTTTTTTTCCCCCCTTCTCCTCCTCTTCCTCGCCTAACACCCTTTTCATCTCCCCTGCCCCATACGCTCCCCCCCATCACCCAGCTTTCGGGCGAGTTTTTAAGAGCAGCCCGGCGTTGCCCCCTACCTCGGACAGCCCGGGGCGCCCCCCCCACCCATTGGGCCGCGGCGCCATCGTCGCCGCCACCCCCCGGAACGAGCCAGGGTGGTTTCGGGCACTCTTGCCGCCAGAAAAAAAGGTTTGTCTCCGCCTGGGCCCGGGCGGCTGCGCCTCGTCTCCTGCCAGGCTCGTCGGTGGTGGTGGCGGAGAAGAAGGTAGTGGTGGTGGCGACGGTGGCGGTGGCTGCAGCAGCTGCAGCGACGAGCCTGAGCCGCAGCCTGGCAGCAGGGGCGGGGGCGGGGGCGGGCGGGCGCGCGGACCCCCACCCACCGCACGCACGCACAGACGGGCGGGCGGACGGACCCCGCCGTGCATGCACACGCGCGCGCGCGCACACACGCACACACCCACCCTTCTTCCGCACACCGGCATGAAAGCCAAATGCCGCGGCCCCCGGAACCTGGGAGTCGGGGGGGAGGAAGAAATGGAGTTGGCGCGAGCTATGTTTTAGACCCCGGCGCCCCAGACAGCGACCAGGAACCCACCTGCAACTCTTGGCCGCGTCCGAGGAGGAGTCCAAATGAAAGGGTCTCTACTCCTCCTCGGCAGCTAGAGCGCGGGACCGGGATGCTGAACCAGCGGGAGCGAGCGCAGTTCCCAGTCCCCCGAGCCTCTTAGGGTGTGTAAGAGGGGGCGGGCGAGACGGGTCAGCTGTGCTGCACGGCCGTCTACCGGCTCGCTCGCTCCCTGTCCCCTACCTGAGAGCCCCCAATCACTGCCCATCCCGGTGTCCTGCCTGCCTCTGTGCCCCTCTACCCACCCCGCCTCCTGCTGGTGCTGCTGCTATTGCTGGTGCTATTGCTGCAAACCCGGCTCAGGTTAGCACAAAAGAAAAAACAAATAAAACGAAAAAACGAGTAGACCACCCCCCCCCCGCTGCACTTAATCCCCACCAAGAGCGGGCGCGAGTCCCGAGACTGCGCCCGCCTAGAGAAGGGGGAGCGACCAACCTGCGGAGAAAGAAATGGGGACGGTGAGCGCTAGGGGAGAAGGGAGGCAACGGGCACTGGGTGAGCGCAGGTGGCTCTCCGCTCGGACCCCGAATCTGCCCTTTTGCTTCTACCCCCTCCACCACCCTAGCGTTCCCCGCCCTCTCTTTTCTCTCCCCACCTCCCAGGGCAGCGTACGCATTACCTGACAGCGTCTCCGCCGTTTAACTGGGGAGACAGCCGACAGGTTGTGAAGAGTAGAGCAGAGACCGGGGCAAGCATCAAGGCTGGAGAGAGCTAAGGGAAGCCCCTGCGGCACCGACAGGACGTGTCCTTCTCTGTCCGTCCTTTCCCTTCTCACTGCCCCTCAGATCTCACCATCCCCGTGGGCGCCCCGCGGTCTTTCCCCGTACGAGCTGCGAGTCTCGCTCGCCCCTTGGCACCAGACCCCTACTGCAGCTAGTGTCTCGGAAAGGGAAGGTAAAGGCTAGTGGCTGGGGATCGCACGGGGACGAACGGGTTTGCCCGTCCCCCGGGAGTGCCGAGGGAGCCGTGGGCTCTCACCTCGGACTTAAGGGGACCCACCTGATAAGGTTTCGATGGCCTTCATCGCCCAGTTTTCGTCGGGGCAGTCCACGAACGCATAGCCCGCTTTCACCAGGAAAGAGCCGGTGTAAGGGATCTTGGAGTCGTTAAAGACACTCTCCAGATCCACCGGGCTCACGGTGTCGCTCAGGTTGCCGATATACAGCTTGTTCATCGTTTTTCAAGTGGGGCGAAATGGTTGAAATTAAAGTAAAACCAAATGTAAGAAGAAAAATATAGCAATGAGCGGCTGGACCAGTTGTCTCTGGTCCTTGCCCCTTTTTCCTAATCTAAAAGCTCCTAACACCTACGCTGCGCTACGCGTCTTATGCTAAAAAACCAAACAAGGAAAGGATGAGAAGAAGAGGGGCAAGGCTAGCCGTGGGTCAGTGGGCTTCCCTCTTTCCCTGGCAGGGAAGAGAAGATAGCTTCACTGGAGCCCCGGAGCCAGAGTGAGGACTTCTCACTCTGCAGACGGGCGAGAGCAAAGCGGACCAGCTTTGTGATGGGAGGATGGCGGGGTCGGCAAGAAATAGGAGGAGAAGGAGGAGGAGGAGGAGGGAAGGGGGGGAAGGAGGAGGAGGAGAAAGAAAAAAACTACTTTTTGTCTCTGCCCCCCGAACCCCTTTGCCAGCAGCGAGCGGGCTGCGAAAATGTCACACTGCGTGAGTGGAGGCGCCGCCTCCCCATAAAAAAAAAAACGGAGAGGGAGACAGGCAGAAGGAGGGAAGGGGGGACCGGGGGATGGGGGGGAAGAGGAGGAGAGGGAGGAGGTGGAGGAGAAGGAGGGGGAAAAAAATCACTTGGACAGTCCGGCTATTTGAATGAGCCACGTGTTCAAACTACAAATCAACGGTCTCACGTGAAGAATCCTGGCTTCTCAATTAGAGAGATTTAACCAAAAAGGGGGGAAGGGGCTGGGGAAAAGGGGGGTGAGAAAATCGGAGGAGAATAGGGGAACAGAGAAAAGGAGATTGGGTGAGGGTCAACGAAGAGAAGGAAGAAAAGACACCCAGAGCAATCGGTGCTAACAGCCAGCTCGAAAGTACAGAAGCTGTACTTTTAGGGCTGTTTGATGGGGAGAAGAAGCTACAGGAAACCGAAAGGGCGAATTTCTCTCTCCTTTTTTTTTTCTGAGAAGGGGGAAGGGGTCCCTAGCCTCTGAGTTTATCTCCGCTGGAGGAAAAATTGGAAAATGTGATTTTCTTGGGTATTTCACATATAGACACACACACGCACAATCCCACACCATAGCACACAGTCCAAAGCATAAAGCTTTGATAATGATAAACATTAGGCTCTCCCTCTCTCCTTCAGGGCTGCTGCTTGAGTGAATGTGACCTCCTGCAAATAGGGGAGGAAGTTTTCTGGGTTTACCATTGGAGAAAAAGCGAGGAAGGGAGAGTTGGGAGGGGGATAGAGGAGGAAGAAGGGGGGGGAAGGGGCGGTGGGAGATTGGCAGCGCAAGCCAACCCCCACTTCTCCCTCTCTCTTCCCCCCGCCCCTCCCTGGCTCCCCTGCTCGCTCTCTCGATTCCTCCCTCCTATCTAGAGCATTAATCTGAGGGGTCTTCGGGGCTCGGCTCCTCTCGGCCAACGTGGCCCAAGCGCGGGTGCACAGGGTGGGTGAGTCAGCGGATGAGCTTGCTAGAGAGCAAGCGAGAGGGTGGTCGGCTCGGGTGGGCTGGGCGCTGCTCGGTTGCCGCGGGCCTGCTGGGCCCGACTGGCCGCCGGAGGAGGGGGCTTCTGATGGGCACCCAGAAGGGACCCTTCCACGAACAGCAGCACGTCCACCTCCCACTTCGTTTTTGGAGGCTCTCCTGGTTCTGCCTTGCCATTGGTTGCAAAGCACCGAAAAGGCTAAGGGGCTTCTGGTGGGAGGCAGCCGGCTAGCCCGCGGGCTCCCGGGGCCGCTGGGGGGTGGGCGGGGGGAGCGGCGGAAAGCTTCTCTGCAGCGCTGAATCCGGCCCCGAAATGGTAACGTTTCTGATTTTAGTTCTGCTGAGTGTTCAGCTGCTGGGCCTTTCGGGGCCCAGCTCTTGGGTTTGAGGAGTGGGGGGCGAAGGACAAAGGGGAGGGGTGACGGCGGCGGGGTGGCTCGGCCGAGCCGCTAAGGCGTTCCTGGCGGGGAAGTGAGCTCTTCCTGGAGCTTCTAAGGTGGGCCCGGGGCGGGGGGGCAGGGGAAGAGAGCGGCCGAAGGCTACCCCCTCTCTTTTTCCCCCTTCATAATTTACTGAGGGTATAGAATGCTCCTAAGAGAATACCCCTAAGGGAAGGAGTTCAGAATACCCCTTTCCATCGTCTCGAGTGGTAATCACCCGAGAAATATCGAAAGTCTTGGCCTCGCTTTTGCAGGTTCCCTATCGGGCTTCAGGGGCCCTTCATAATTTACCCCCATTTGCAAAAGAGACAATGCTGGGTTTGTGGGGGTGGGGTCTGGGGCCAGCCGAGCCTTCCCGGGCAAACAAAATGTTGACTGAAGATGAAGAAGCGAGACGGAAATGAAAGGTTGGACTGTATTTTGTATAGAAAAACCGAGTACGTTTTGTTAAATAATTCTGGGGACTCCAGTCAAAGATTTTTATTTATTCCAAGACAGATATTTGAAAGGGAGATGTAAAAAAAAATAGGTATTCTGTGAAAAATATTTACAGGGTTTTTTTTTTTCAACTAACGTGATTCAAATTTCACATATAGGTTACAAGGTAATGAAAACATCTTGAATTGCTTTGTTACCTTACAGGGAGAAAAGTGGAGCAGCGGTTTTCCCCTTTTTTGCAACAATTTAGAAAAATTTTAATTTAATCTGGGAAAATATGAATGAATTTTAATTTTGATGGGTTTATTCTTGTGGAGTAAAACAGTTTGGCATAAAGGCTGGGTGTCGGGGTTTGTGTGTGCGAGTGCACCTAGGGGATAGGAAAGAAATCATTATCGGGCACAGAGTGATATTTTAAATTAGTTTCCCCCCCCCTTTAAAAAACAACAGTTATTTTGTGGCCTTTACGGTGATATTAAGTTGCTGATATGGGCCGAGGCAGCTTTTTTTTTTTTTTCCAAAATGCAACTCAGTTTTCTAGCATCTGCCTCTACCAAACAATAGAGATGTGGTGTTTTGTTTAATTTGGAGGTGGGTTTTTTACTTTCTGCTTTGGTTTGTTTTGCATTTCAGGTTCGCTTTTACCATATATTCAGCCTAGTTTGATTTTTCCCAAGTTTTTAATTTATCGAAGTTTTGAGGATGGGGGCGGGAGGGATCACAACTTTCATTTTGTACAAAAAAACAAAAAACCTGAGGAATTGGCAATTTTCTTTTCCGCTAACATTTCAGTTTTTTAAAAAAAATTTTTCACTTCTCATTGACCTCTTTGGAACCTAACATTTTTCTTGAAGGATCTTCAGTGAGCAAAAGGTTGGGAGAGATATTTTTGTCCCTTGGAAGACAATGTTGGTTGAGTCGAGGGGAAGAAAAAGAAAGCATTAAAACAGCACTCAAAAGGAACGGGGGCTACATTTTTCACAGATCTATACTATAGATATTATCGGTCTCATTGTTGTTTAACCAAATGGGTAAGTACATTTTTTCCTATGTGAACAAAACAAACCAAAAGAAAAAAGACTGTTGAGGCTTCCTCATTGTTAGAAATAGTCTCTCTCTCTCTGATAGACCGTTTATTTAAATTTTTACAAACTAGTTGCTGAGCTATAGTATTTCTGTTCCATTTCTCTCTGTAATTGTTTTTCATATGGTAGAAAAGATATTACCCTTTGGTCACCATAAGCTGTGTCCAAAGCAAGTCAACTGAGGCTGCTTCCTTCTGGTGTCCTGACAGGGATTTACTATTTTTAAATTAGGAAACTGGAAACTCTCCAATTGCCTTAAAAGTCTTGATTATTTGTAAGGCTATCTGCTATTTAAAACTATGAAAAAGCCTTTCTAAGGTTTGTCTTATCACTATCAACACTTAATATAAAAACTAGAATTTCAGATTTCCAGGGGGTTTTGGAAAATAATTTCACCTAATGGTTTGTATAAATGACAAAAAGAAAGAAAGAAAGAAAGAAGAAAAAGAAAGAAAGAAAAAAAGAACCACACACAGAAAACTTGATGCAGCTTTTGACCCAAAGGGTCCTAGTGATATATCATCTCTACTGCATAGAAGTGGATTCCTTTCATTCCAAATCTTTCAAACCTTCGTATTAATATTTTTCTCTCTGTGTTTGAGGGTAACAAGGAGACATCCAAACACAAGGGACAAACTGCTCTTCATACTTCAAATGGTACTTCTTCCTCCTTAAGAATATTCATACTCAGTGATTCTAAAAATCACAATTTTCCAGTAGATTTGAACTAAAAATTGTAAAGACTTTTACTGTTTTTTTTTAACGCAGGGCCTCATTCTTGTAGTTCAAAAATAGGCAGTTCTAGCAATTTTCCCCACTCTAATATTAATGCCGAGAATCATTTGTATTTACTCTCAAATGGAGAAGGATTGGGGTGGGGGGATTCTTTTTTGATCCTCAACTACGGCCTGTTTTCCCTTTAGGGCTAGTCTCCTCAATTCTTTATCAGCCTGACTGGGGGGGGGTGTAATAAAATTATTTTTCAGGGGCTTTGTGACAGAAAAGGAAAAAAAAATTACCATCACAATATTCACAGATTACATATGTAAGAGCCACATAGGGAAGAAAGGAAGAAGTATTTCTCGGCCTCAGCCCTCACTGCCTTAAAGCAAACAGACACACACTTAGGGAGCTGTGAGCACTTACACGGATGTTCCTTGTGCAAGTTTAGTAATATTTGCTCAAACAAACAAACAAACAAACAAAAACCCAACCACTTTTATTCCTTTAAACCAACTCTCCTGGACGCAGATGTGCTTCAAGTTTGTGTATGCTGGAGGGTCTGTGGGCTCTGCCCACTCACTCCCTGGAATCGGCCTTCATTTATTTTGTTTGCATTCAAAGATGGAGATCAGAAAGACGGAGATCAGAAAAGAAGATGGGGTGGTTTCCTTGTTCCCTGGCTGTCACCCAAAGAGAGCCGGATCTGCAAAAGTCACTGAGAAGGAAAGCTTTTTGCCTTTCTCTTCTCCAGTTTGGCCCGGGAATTACCCCCCCACACACACACACACAGACACACGCATGCAAAAGTCACTGGGAAGGAAAGCTTTTTGCCTTTCTTTTCTCCAGTTTGGCCTGGGAATTACCCCCCCCCACGCACACACACAGACACACAGACACAGACACACGCATGCAAAAGTCACTGGGAAGGAAAACTTTTTGCCTTTCTCTTCTCCAGTTTGGCCCGGGAATTACCCCCCCACACACACACAGATACACAGACACAGACACACAGACACACGCATGCAAAAGTCACTGGGAAGGAAAGCTTTTTGCCTTTCTCTTCTCCAGTTTGGCCCTGGGAATTAACACACACACACACACACACACACACACACACAGACACACGCATGCAAAAGTCACTGGGAAGAAAAGCTTTTTTGCCTTTCTCTTCTCCAGTTTGGCCCGGGAATTACCC